GTGTAGGTCAAGTGGGGTTACGTGTAGGTCAAGTGAGACCTTAGTACCTCTGTACCAGGCACATAATTCAGGAAATAACCGTGTTATTTCCCATTATCTGTATTCAGTTTAGACATGCAGGCTCTAGTCAACTTGCATTTTATGTTTGCGAAAAATGAGACGTTGCAAGCAGTAAAGCAGTAGAAGCAGAGTCACAGCCCACATTGGTGTTTTATACTCATCACCAGTGACGGTCGCTGCCCTCAGACTCAATGGTAAATCCTATGTGACCCTATCGATTCACCAGCGATACTTAAGTGCATATCTGGACCCTTTGGGTTGAAGATATCTGGTTTCATTTCCCCTTTATTACCTCAACGTTGTCCAAATTAGATTTTAAGGCAGGTTTTTTCAATGGATTAGTGTAATGAAATAACATGCTGCAGTTGGAGAGATGTGCTTTCTTCTGTAGCTCTGCTCCGCCTGTCTAAACTTGAATCAAATTGCTTGGAAGGCACCCTGGGGATGAATGAGAGAAAAATAAATTCTACTTGTACTTATATGCATTTAAATGTGGAGGAACTCCTTTAAAATACGTGAAACTAAATTTAGATTTGCACTGCTGCACCTGAGAGCAGGTCTGGTCCTGTATATTTACAAATGGTATTTTCTTTGGAAGGAGAATGGTTTATGTTTTATGGCTTTAAGTGGCTTTTAACGAACAGTACAAGTTTTAGACATCTGATCTGACTGTTTTACCTGTCGCAACAACTTTTTCGCAGAAAGCAAAGCAAAAGGATCAGAGACCGATGGTCTTCCTTTTGCAGAAACTTACTAGCTGAATAAAAAGCCCAATTTTTACCATGGATTTTTTATCTCAAAATGTTAAAAAACATCACAGCAATATGTCAAATGTGCTAAGCTGAAATGTATATTGTTTAAGTAACAGAAGTATATAGAATGGGAGTTAAAAGAGAGTAGGGGACACAGAAATAATACGTCATGCAGGGTAAAGTATTCATTGCAAATAGAGAGTTGAAAGCACATTTTGAGCTCAACAATACTATGAACTTCGTTAGGTTACGGAAGGGAGTTATTTTTCCTGTGGTTTATTATGTAAAAATTTCCAACTGCTAAAAAAAAAAAAAAAACAACTAAAGAAAGAGAAAGAAAAAAAAAAGGTCGAAACCTAGCAATCCCTTCTCTGTGCCAGGCCTTTTATGTGCTTTCAACACGAATGTTTATTTTGCTGCTACCTCGGAACAGATATGCCTGGTTACTGAGCTGGTTCTGCTGACTCAGACCTGGCTTAAAAGCTTCAGCTTTCCAACTGCAAAGGCAAGGACTTGCATTCAAATTTAAATACTGAAAGGCTGCCAATAATTTCATTAATCACTGGTAAAATTTTGCTGGGACCAAGGTCGCCATGGGTTTTATACTACAGAACTTTTGGATTTCACTTTCACACCTCTGACGAGGAGTAGGCTTCCCTTCCCTGACAAAATATCCTGGCATGATACTTCATCATAGTAAAAAAATCTCAAAGTGCTGCTTTTGTCAGAAAAATTCATGTACCTTTTTTCTTCAGTTGACCACTTCAGCAATATCTGTATCTACCCAATGCATCCGCTACCGCACTCTGCAGAAGCATAATAAAAAGTAACATAATTCACCTGAGTGTGCCAGAAGCTATTTTTGTATTTGTGCACCAAAATAATTCCACGAAACTGGGGATATTTCCTGCCTTGCAGGGCAAAACCCTAAATTCCTTCATGATGAAGTAAGATGGCTACATTCTATGCCTGATGAGGGTCTGTCTGTGTTTCAGTTTAGTGCAGAGCACAATTTCTACTGATGTTGACTTATTTTTTCCCGTCTGCCTCCGTTGCAGGGGAGACAACCACTACGGTGGCACCATTCATTCCAGGAGGGGTCAGTGATGGGCAGTGGCACTCGGTTCAGGTGCAGTACTACAATAAGGTAAGACTAATTGTGTTGGTGATTAGCCTATTATTTGTAAAGTAATAGAGGCGTGGGTCATCTAGCTCTGACCTAGTGTGTGCAGGTGACTTGAATTTCATTTATTTAACCAGGCACATTGCTACAGCTCTGCACAAATGGAACTAGTCTTGCTCACCTTGCCTGGGACAAAAATTCCCTCTGAGGGCTTTTGAGTTTTGTCTCAGGAAGGCAAAATCAGACCTAGGATGTCCTTTTCAGAAGTACTGCCAGGGAAACCTTCAGGTACTTGGAACTATTTTAGGTTTTGGTTCTTAAAACTCTCACAAGTGTCAGTGTATCTAAAACAACTGGTTCCCTGATTTAGGTCTTTTTAAAGAATTATGCAGGGCAGGAGCCTTCAGTGTAGTAACTAAAAACCACAAGTGTAGAATTTTCTGAAGCAAAGCAGAATTCTTCCCTATAACTGTTTTTTCTTGTGTAAAATGACCAGTTTAGCTAGTGCAAGCTTCTCTGGTTTGCAAAATTTGGTTATGAAATGGTTGACACGTTTCAATAATCAAGGGCTGTCTTACTAAATCATTTTTATGTCTGCTATATAAAAAGATACGCAAGAGAAATGCAAAAAGCATCATTGCACACAGTCCCTGGCGCTCAGGGGTGGGTTCTGGGGTCCCTGTCCCACAGCTGCGTCCTTGGTAGCTGTCAAGAGCAGGTTCACTTTGATTGAACCAAAGGCGGGGGCTTTGTGCAAACCAGCCATTCTGTGAAAAAACAAAAAGCAGGCTTTCAGGGTGTTCGGTGTCACTGTTTACAGATAGATGTCAGAGCTCTTCTATAATCTATAACAAAAATTAGAGAATTCACTTAGTTACTGAGAAGCATTGCTTTTAAGTCTGACATGATAGCATTATGGGGAATCGCGTAAGGAAATAGAGGAGCATTGTTGGCTGTTAAAAAGGAAACAGGATACTGGTGTAGGAAGCTGAATGGAAGATGAAGGATTAATATGATCAGCAAGTTCTTTATTTCCCAGCGCTGCACCATTTCATCACAGTTTGTGTGGCAGTTTGAATGGGAGGATTAAAATTTTCTTTGGACTCCTAGATAGGGTCTCCTACCCTAAGGGTATTTTATTGAGAAAATAAAAGCCTTTTTTAATAGTTATTTTATTTTAAAAAATAGCAACGAAACCACTTATTTTATAAGTTTTGTACTTAATATACTTAATATACTCTCTACTATCTGGAGCACAGAGAAGTAGAAGCGAAACTTGGGGTGTCACCATGCATACATCTACGGACACTGTGGGGCTCTTCCGTACAAACTGCAACGTGCCGTGTTTCCATAGTTTGTGTATTTCTTAGTGAATCAGTTTAGCAGAGTAAGCGGCACTTGCTGAGGCAGCAGAGGGACATTCCAGCTTGCAAGCTCCTTGTTGGACAAGGAGGGGAGGGCACAGCCATGGGGACAACCGCTGGAGCAGCTTACTGAAGCACTGCTGAGCAGATAAGGGGCCCAGGCAGCTCCAGGATACTCTTTAAAAGGCAAAGAGATCTGTCATGGATGTTAAAAATAAACCCCTGCCTCATTTTGAGGGCTTGCTGGTCTTCAAGCAGACTGGTAGGTGAGCCATGTTAGCAGCTGGTGTTTTCCTGTCATTAACACGTGCACCCTGTCATGATTTTCTTCTTCTGCCCGTTTTTCGAAGGGGAACAAGCCAGGCCCTGCTGCACGGGAGGAAACTCAGGGGAAGAGAGGGAGAGCAGAGGGGCTGTGCCAGGAGACACCACTAACTTCACTGCCTTTGCCACTGGCATGATGTAAAAGGGATCAAAACCAGGGTCACTGCGTGGAAAGCAGCACTGTGCCCTTTGCTGTCCATGTTAGAGACCGAGGTCATCACCTTTCCCTTAGCAGTATTTCACAGAACCATAGAATGGTTTGGATTGGAAGGGACCTTAAAGATCATCTAGTTGCAACCCCACTGCCATGGGCAGGGACACCTTCCACTCGACCAGGTTGCTCAAAGCCTCATTTATTCCAGAGTGGTTAAATTTGGGCTGGCAGAGGGGAGCTCTCAATATTGAGTAAACGGCACGAGTAGGATATACTAACCTATGTGTATTTAGCACGCTCTCAGGACGTCTCAGCATGTCTGAGAGTTGCATCTGTTGCAGCAGCTCTGCAGCAGTGAAGGGAGGAGCGGGGGCTGCGGGGCAGCGGCAGCCGGAGGCGGCTCTGCAGTCCTGCCCGCCGGGCTGCCCGCCGCACCCTGCAGCAGGGTTAAGCCTTCGCCTCAGCTGGTATTTGTTTGTAAAGCAGTTCCTTGGCTACTTCATGTTTTAACAAAGCTGGAAGGAAAGTTCCTGTGAGGAGGTTGAAAAGACAGAGATAATTTAGGGATTTGAGTTGTGCCAAGATAAATGGGATGCTCTGTCTAAACTTGACACAACTGAGACATGTTTGAATAACAGAGTACCCAAAACTCATGAGTTTGCTTAAATTATAGACTCATATTATTTTGCAGGTACT